GAAATCATGGTTCCAGTTCCTATCCCCTTTAGGGTTTACTGAGTACTTTTCTGAAAAGAATTCAGTGAGATAGTAAGAATAATATTATCCCATTTTACAGATAAGGAAACAGATTTGGGAAGGTGATCACTCCACTGGACTTTGTCCTGGCCAGTCCACGTCTGCAATATTGGGTTCAATTCTCGGCAGCACATTTTAGAAGAGACAATGAGAAGCTGGATTGCATTCAAATGAGAGCAACTAGGACACTCGAGGAAATGGAAACCCGACCAGAAGACCATGGATTGAATGAACTACAGATATTTAGCTTGGGGAGCAGGAGAGTTAGAAAGGGAACCAAGAACTGGCTTAAAATGTCAGAAAAGCTTTCATATAGAAGAGACTGGTCTTGTTATGTTTAGGTGCAGAGAGCAATAAGAAGGGAAAATGAGTGGATGCTGTCAAGAGGGACTGATGTTGACTCCCAATATAGAGGAAAAACAAACAAAACTTTCTAACATTTAGAACTGTTCAAAAAGATAATGTGGGCAGCTAGTTGGCATAGTGGATAGTGTTCCAGGCCTGAAATGAGGAAGATTTATCTTTATGATTTCAAATTTGGCCTCAGACACTAGCTGTGTGACCCTGGACAAGTCACTTAACTCTGTTAGCCTCAGGTTCCTCATCCATAAATGAGCTGGAGAAAGAAATGGTGAACTACTCCAGGGTTTCTTTTGCCAAGAAAACCCCAAATGGGTACATGAAGAGTTGGACATAACTGAAAAACAACTGAAGAACAAAATAGTGTAAAGGGCTGCCTCAGGAGGTAGTGAGTTACATCTCCCTAAAGGTTTTCCAGTAGAGGCTGGATGACTATTTATAGGGGATGATATCAAGGGGATTCTTGGTCAGGTAGAGCTTGGCATAGATGACTTCTAAAGTCCATTCTAACTCTGAAATTCCAAGTCTCTGGGAAGTGACTTATTCAAGTCCATGCAGCTAGAAAATGACAGGACAAGTACTCAAACCCTGGTCTTTAAAATCCAAATCCAGTGCTCTTAATTGCCTATATTTATATAACCCTTTATGGGTTAAAAAGCAAAGTCTTGGATTCCAAATCCAATGCTCTTTCCATTATTACATACTTCTTCTAGCTCTGAGAGACAGACAGAGACAGAAGAGAGAGACAGAAAGAGACAATTCTGCACTCTCCTGCAGGCATTCGGAACCTTAAAGTACTACAGAAATGGAAGCTATTATTATCATCGATAGCGCATCCTTCCCTTGAAACAGGGGGGACAACTGAAGTCCATGCTGAGAACTAGGTAACAGAGACAAAGAGACAGACAGAGAGACAGAGACAGACAGACACATAGGCAGGGAGACCAAGACAGAGAGAAAGACAGACACAGACAAGAGGCAGAGATAGACAAGAGACAGAGAGAGAAATAGATAAAGCATTTATGAAGCACTGGCTATGTTTTAGGTATTGTATCTAGTCTTCAAGGTGCTTATATTCATGTGTGTGTGTGTGTGTGTGTGTGAGAGAGAGAGTGTGAGTGTGAGTGTGAGTAAACCCTGATGCATAACCAACAAGCAGCATGGTGTCATGAAAACAATATTGAATCTAAAATCAGAAGGTCTGGGTGCAAGTCCCAGGTCCTCTGATTCCAGACTCAGTGTTCTTCTTAGCTTTTTGACCTCAGGCAAAAATTTGAATCTTTCACTCCTTGACCTACATGGGGATCATAGATAGGGCCTGAAGGATCTTAGAGATTATCTAATCCAACCCACCCCCTCATTTTGCAGGGAAGGGAACTGAGGCCCAAAGAAATGAAGCTAATTGCCCATGGTCACACAACTAATAAGTGTCAGAGGTAGGATTTGAACCTAGGGTTCTTCACTCCATATCCAATGCTCCATCCACTGCCAAAATACTTGAACTACCTACATCACAGAGCTGCTGCTATATCCAATGAGATAACATGTGTGAAGGGCCTTGTATACCTAAAGGCAATATAAAAAATCTAAGCTAGATCATGTGAAAGGAAGAGCATTTGGAGCATTTGGATTTGGAGTCAGAAGACCCAGATTTGAAACCTAATTCCAACCTCATAGCTGTGTAATCTTGGCCAAGTCACATTGCCTCTTTAAGTTTCAGTTTCCCAAATTGTAAAATGGGAATAAATCATGCATTAACTAGCAGTTGAGGCAGACAGATGGTATAGTAGATAGAAGGCTGAACCTGGAGTCAGGAAGAACCGAGTTCAAATCTGGCCGCGGACACTTACCAGCTGTATGAGCTTAGGCTATCATTTGTTTATCCCAGTTTCCTCAACTGTAAAACGGGAATAATAATAATTGTAAAATGGAAATAGCACCTACCTTCCAGAGTTGTTACAAGGATTGAATTAGGTTATCTGCAAAGTACTCAGCACTGTGCCTACCACATGGTAGGTACTAAATAAACACTACCTACTATTTATTATATTATCAAGGTGGCACCACAGTGCACAGAGCACTAGGCCTGGACTCAGGAAGACTCATCTTCCTGAGTTCAAATCTGGCCTCGGACACTTATTAGGTGTGTAACCCTGAGCGAGTCACTTAACTCTGTTTGTCTCAGTTTCCTCATCTGTAAAATGAGCTAGAGAAGGAAATAATGAACCACTCCAATAACGTTGCCAAAAAAACCCCAAATGGGGAGTCACAAAGAGTCAAACATAACTACTACTGCTACGACTATTACTACCACTACTGTCATTGCTACTACAGCTGCTGTTGTCACAGGATTTCTACGAACAAAACATGCTGTAAACTTGGAGCACTCCAGAAACGTGAACTCTCATCGTCATCATTTCCATCCCTATGCTGATCCACACCTGCTATTTTCAGTCATTCCTGCTGGAGGGAGGTGAACCCTGGTCCTCAAAGGCAGCCAGCAGATGCAGTGCAAGGGGCAGCAGGGGCTATGAAGCTGAAACCCCTCAGGAGTGAGCCCGGTAATAGGCTGCATGCCTACTGTCTGATGACCAGCCTTGCTAAGTTCTGAGACAAGGATACAGGCACAGGTCTGGGGTTGCCTTCCAGTAAGGTCACTTCTCAAGAGGCATAACTAAAGGCCACGTATAAAGGGCAATGCTAGTTATCTGTAATTGCTGATGACTACAGACTGGCCACAGGGGTTCTGGGTCATCCCTAGATCACCAGAGGGAAATGCATTGTTTTGGACACAGCCAGTCTCGAAGACTATTTATTGATTGCATTTGGGGGGCTGTGACCAGTCAGTGGAGTGAGTACCCACACTGATGAAATTACAAATCCCTGAAATAGCAAAGTACTCTTGCCTGCAGAGCCTCCAGCTGTTTGCTTCTCTGCCTTAAAAGTTGGCTCTTTTCTTTGCTTGATGAAGGCATTCTCAATTACCAAGTGCTCCAGACGATGTCACTCAACCTACCCTCAAGGGTTCCTAGCAGACATGGGCTAAATGTATCTAGTCTAGCTGACTCTGCGCCAGTCCCCAAGGAAGGCCAGCTTCTGCTTGGAAAAAAAAGGATGGCAAATGATTGCTAAACTGCACTGTCTTTTAAAACCTCTTGGTCCTGACTGATGAGAAATAATCATACCTTCTTGTGAAAGGAAACAGTGTAATAGAAAGAGTCCTGAACTTGGAAGTCAGATGTCCTAAATCTGATACTTATAAGTTAGCAGCTAGGTGGTACAGTGGATAGGGCTCTGGACCTAAAGTCAGGAAGACCTGAGTTCAAATCTAGTCTCAGATGCTTACTACCTGTGTGATCCTGGGCAAGCCACGTAACCTCTCTCTGACTCAGTCTATTCATCTGTAAAATGGAGATAATAATACCACTTACCTCACTAAGTTGTTACGAGAACCCATCAAGAATAATAAACAAAGATCACTTTGCAAACCTTAAAGTGATATATCAGTGTTATCTATCATTATCATTATCATTATTAAGAGAAGCTTATCATCAGAGCGTTGGTCATTAGAGCATAAGTTTAGAGATGGACAGGACCTTAAAGTCATAGATTTAGAGTTGGAAGTGAATTTAATGTTCATCTAGATCTGAGTCTCTTATTTTAAAGATGAAGAACTGAGGCCCAAGAAGTTAAAAGACTTGCCCAAGTTAAGTGATTTTACAAGTAATAAGGGCCACAGCCAGGAACTGAGCCCATGTCCTCTTGTAGGACTCCAAATCTGACTTTCTTTCCACTGTATTTCACTGCATCTAACCCCTTCAACTAACAGATGAGGAAACTCAGACCTGTCCTGATCAAGTGAACTGTCCAAGGTCCTAAAGTGGTAGCAGAGTCAGGATTCAAACCCAGGTCCTCTGACTTCAAATCCAGTACTTTATTCACTGCACCATGCTCTCCCCCAATCAGAGATAAGGAGGCATTGTATTTGAGGCATGAGTGAGGCAGTTTAGGTTTCAGGAATTGTTCCTAGTTTTAATTTAGCTGGAACATAGAACACATGGAGCAGAATAATATGAAATGAGGATGATAACTAGGGGATTTTGTCTGTCCATTCTCATTTCATAACAAAAGCAATAGGGGATCACTAAAGATTGGGGGGCTGAATAGGCACATGGTTACATTAATCTGACAACTCTAAGTTCTTGGATGATGATTTTATTTTTGACACAATTTATAAAGAGCATCTTAACAGGTGTGAAAGAATTGCCATTTGCATTGGAACAGGGAATGCCCACCTTGGTGAAATTATAGAGCTAGAAACTGTTGAAGAGTTACAATCTTCCCAATAATCCTTGCTCCAGAATCCACTTGGCCTTTAAATATCTGGGTGAGGGAAGAGGTGTAGTCCTACCCTAAACTAAGGAGACAGTAACAATCACATTTCTGTTTCCAAACCACCCAACCTTGACCTAAAGAAAATTCACTTTGAACATAAACAGCAAACCCATCAAACATGTCCCTCTTGTTTGCTTCCAGCAGCCAATAAGTAGACAGAAAAGAACTGAGGGGACTTCACTTACTGTCACATTTCATTCCTTGGTGAATGAGCCCATACAGCAAAGAGCCGCAGTGATCACAAAATGTTGGACTGGAGTAAGTGTGGATTTTAAACTTATGCTTGCTCCGTGGGTCCTGAAAATCAAGGGGAATAAAGGATGATTGTTAATTTATACGAATTTCCAATAAGCCAATAATAGGTCCAAAAACACTAGGTGATCATTTATAAATAGCTGTATAAATAATGAACACATATTTCAACTCTTATTGAATGCGTCCATTCCTGTAGAACCCAGTCTGTTCTACTCTGCTCTTGTTATTCTCCCAACCAAATGTCATCCCATTGCCAATAGGATAAGGACCAAATTCCTTAGCCTACCATTCAAAGCCATCTACAATCTATTCTCAATCACCTCTACATCCTCATCTTATACTATTCCCTTTTATATCCTGCTTTTCAGACAAGTGACTTGCTTGCCATTCCCCAAACAGATCCCTTACATTCCCTTGTTTCGACTCCTTGTCCATACTGGACCCTTTGCTCAGAATTCCATCCCCATTATTTATTATATCCATCCATAAAGGCCTCACTCAGGTGCCTTTTTCTTTGTGAAGTCTTCCCCAATATCATTAGTCAGAAGTCATCTCTTCCTGAATTTTACTGTCATAGATGGCATTTTGCTCATATCTTTAACAATTCACTTTACTCCACTTTAGAGCAAAAGTATGGATGCCCTTTAATTAAAAAAAAACACAAACAATAATAAATACACAGTAGAAAATAAACTCTAGATTGAAGCACAGAATAAATTATGAATGGGCTAGACAGATTCTAGGATAGAGTTTTAAGTAATGATCATCAATAGCCCTACCAGGTCTTCAGAAGCAAGGACAATGAAGTTCCAAAGTAAGGAAATGGAATTTATTTCAGCATATCTCAGCTTCAAAACATTATGAAATTTGGAGCAGAAAGGACCCTTATAGATAATCTAATGCAATTCCCTCATTTAATAGTTAAAGAAAGTGAGGCCTAGAGTAGTTAAATGACTTGTCCATGGTTGCATGTTGTTGTTGTTCAGGCGTTTCATTTGTGTACAATTCTTTGTGACCCATTTGGGGTTTTGTTGGCAAAGATACTGTAGTGGTTTGCCATTTCCTTCTCCAGCTCATTTTACTGATAAGGAACTGAGGCAAACCAGGTTAAGTGACTTGCTCAGGGTCACATAGCTAGTAAGTGTCTGAGACTGGATTTGAACTCAGAAAGATCAGTCTTTCTGACTTGAGCTGCCCTTGGTTGCAACCATCCCCAATGTCACATAGGTAGTAATAAAACTAGGATTTGATCCAAGATACTCTCACTCAAGAACTATTTCCGCTATATCAATGCTGCCTCACTACTATATTTCAAGTTCTTTCAAAAAAATTTTCATCTCCTTATCTTAGGTAAGAGGTTTGTGGATGATGAATGAGCAGCATCACCTCATTGCGTATAGCAGGTACTTTAGTAATATGTCCTGAATTAGGGGGCAGTTAGGTGGCACAGTGGATAGAGCACCGGCCCTGGAGTCAGGAGGACCTGAGTTCAAATCCAGCCTCAGACACTTGACACTTACTAGCTGTGTGATCCTGGGCAAGTCACTTAACCCCATTGCCTAGCCAAAAAAAAAAAAATGTCCTGAATTAGATTACATTCTTAAAGTGGTCTTTCCCTGATGCAGACCCAAGTGTCTGTATTCCTTTATACTGTCTCTGATCTCTTATACCCTTCCCAAGATGATCTTCCCTACTGAAAAGACGAACTTCATTGTAAGGATAAATAGGGTACATGTCAGTCAATTGGCAGCCTCCTGATTAAAGGCCATTGTCTTCATCAAATATCCCAAAATCTACCCATGAGAAAGGCATGAGATCACTTACGAAACATAAATCTCAAACATGGTTGTTATTGGGTAATACATCATTTTGAACAATCCTGAAGGGAAAGAAAATCAAGAATTTAAATTTGTGTGAATCATTTTAATTTGCTACTATTTTTCTTCACAAGGTTCCAAATCAATGCTGTGCCCGTGAGATGAACAAATCCGCCCTTAATTCAGTAGAGCTAAAAGAATGAGACACTTGACTTTAGACTCCTGCTGATTTAACAGCATAGCATTCCACACTAACACCCTTTCACAAGTAGAATGTTATAACCATAGACATTCTTTCTTGTGCTTGATCCAAATGGCTACTTTCTAATAGCTGGCTTTGCCGAGTCTAAAGAAAACATTAAGAGTTTCTTGTTTAATGACAATTAAGCAATCTCTTGGAGGTCCCCAGACAATGAAATCTAGTTTATTAAATCATGTTTCCAGCAATATTCCCCAGCCTTCATCATCATTATGCCATGTTTACTTACTTCTCACTTGAAACTTTACCTGGAAGACTACAACTTAAATCTGTCCAGTTCTTACTTTCCTGCATTCTAGGCATTTTAAAAGGCCAAGATATATGAAGAATGTATTCCGATTCACCATCAAAAGAAAGTCAATAAAGCCGAGCACCTACGTATGACAAACTGTCCACAACTGAGATAATCTTCTGAATTTACTGAGTGCTTGATTCTGCCTTCCTGGCATCAAGTTTTATTTGATCCTGAATTGTTTTTTGCCTGCACTTCACCCTCTGATACTCAACCCTTTAAAGTGACTTGGATGTCCACAGTGTCTGATCATGATAATACTTTGGCAATGGCTTTCTCACTACTTTTAAGGTATGTGGAAACTTACTACCTGGGTGACCCTAGGCAATTCTCTTAACCTTTCTGTGTATCAGTTTCCACAAATCCACAAAATGAAGGAGTCAGACTCAAAGGCCCTCTAAGATCTTTTCCAGCTCTAAGTCTATGGTCTTATTTACTGCCGTCTTTCAACTGTTATACTCTGCAATTATGAAGGAAGGAATCACCTTAGGAGAGATTGGGCATGTTTATACTACACAAAGAAGCTCTGAGTCAATCTCTCATCATGGTGTGGTTCTCTGAGTGATAGTAACAAATTCTAATTTCTTACTCACCTCTTCTGTGGTTCTCCGAGAGAGAGCAAATTCTAATCTCTCGCATACCTATTCTTAAAACTAACAGAGCCAAGACAACAGAGAGTGAGGGCTGCCCTGAAATGCCCTGCATTACCTATGGTTAACCCAGATACAACTCCACAAATCCTATGGATAGACTCCACACAATTCACAAAGAAGGATAGCAAGGACAGTGGATCTGACACAATCTGGGCTACAGACACTGGCTGAGTCCTGGACCAAGTCACTTGAGCAAAAAAAAAAATAATAAATCCTTAATGTGGGCTTACTTTGTGCAAGGCATCAAGGATCCAAAGACACAATAAACTAAGGTGCAGTCGGTATTTAGGAGGGTGAAGAATGATTTTTAAAATGTACAGGTAATAGTAATAGCTAATAATAGCTAACATTTATTTAGTGTTTACTACGTGCCAGGCATTGTGCTAAGTGCTTTATAAGTATTATCTTATTTGATCCTCACAACAACCCTGGAAAATAGATGCTATTATATCCCCATTTTTCAATTGAAGAAACTGAGGCAAACAGAGGTTTAATGACTTGCCCACAGCTAGTAAGTTTCTGAGGCTAGATTTGAACTCAGGGCTTCCTAACTTCAGGCACAAAAGTTTTATCAACTGTACCACCTAGTTACCATGAAGAGTCTGTCTTGGGGAGTAGGAAGAGATAACTTTGGATAGGTAAAGAAAGCAACAGGAAGTTTCTGAGGGAAATAATTAAATGAGTGTAATAGGACATCTGGGTTCTAATCCTAGTTCTGATACTAGATATGGAATTGTAGGCAAGCTACTATACCTCTCAGTTAAAAAACCTTTGTTAGGTATTTATCATGTACCAGACAGTTTTCTAAATCAGAGAAATTAAGATAATTATCCTTGAACTACCTTGAGGGGCAGTCCAGGTAGGGGAAAGACTGAAGAACTTGAAGTTTTTCATACAAGTCAATTAACTTATCAGGGTCTCAGGGCAAATCTCTAAGATTTGCTACAAATGGATTGTACCTATTTTGAGGAGAGATTTCTTTGTACTAGTTAGCTCACAGGGTTATTGTGAGAAAAAAATATCTTCTAAAACCTATAGGAACATGCAAATGAGTGATTTTTGTTAGGAAGTTAATTCTGATAGCCCCAAAGGTAGATTGGAGGGAAGATACCAAGTAGAAGATGGCACAGTAATCTAATCCTGGGTTGGTTAGACCTTGGACTGATCATCAAAGGGGTAGGAAAGGAAAGAGAAAGAGAAATTTGATAAATGCTGTACAGAGAGAATAGAACATGGTGGCCTAGAGAAGGATTGACGCTGACTCATCCCCAAAAGGAAAGACCACATGATGTGTCTATTCTGAAAGGGAAGATTTATGAAACAATGTCAATTGTCTGGGATGACAGTACCCCTGACACATTGGCTAGCATGCCACTACTGTTACCGAATAGCATGGTCTTAGTCAGAGGAATTGTGTGAGAAAAATTCCTCTGGCCCCCATTTATTGTGCCCTTTATAGCATGACTGGGCTCATCTCCCAGGCTTCGATTTCCTGTTACAAATTCCTTTCCTACTGTCTGCCTAGACTCTTGGATTTGATTACTACATGATTTGATTATTAGATGAACTTTGTCCTCACCCTAAACACTTGGACCACACCCACCTTCTCTAGGATTATTCTTTCCCTCAGATCATGTTAATTGTACCTCTTTTTCCTTACCATGTCTCAATCCCCTTCCCAAGTTTGAAGATCAATAATCATCAGTCACCAAATTGATAGGGCTGTTCCAAATTTGGTATTTTTAGTTCTTTTTGAGGGAAGGGGGCCTGAATTGTCATACTTCCATCCTTCAAGGCCTATCTTTTCCACGAAGACTTTCTTGATCTCACCAGCCCACTTTGAAGGTCACTTTAAAGTCATTAAATCTCAACCCTCTAAAGACTTTGAGTCACTGATTGGGGAGCACTTAGAAGGAAAGCCTCCACAGAGGGAAAGAAGATCTGGGTTTGAATCCTTTCTCAGACACAGTTGTATGGCCATCAGTAAGTCACTTAACCTCTGAGTGCCCCAGTTTCTTCAT